AGAACGCAGACGATAACGCACTCACCAATATTGCCAATATTCCTATAGGACCAGCACCCCCGACAATATCGTTCATCATATCTGATAGTTTCCCTAAATAGGGCGACCCCACTGCAGACCCCCAAATACTATAATGCTTACTTCGGGACCCCCCAAAACCTCTAAGTTTAGGAAACCCTATAAACCCTCAACCATATATAACCCCTACCTAACCCTTTTATACCCCCCATATAATCCCTTCAAAAGGCACCCCTAAAATTTGGGAAACTATTTGGAAGGCCAAATCTTCTCAACGACGCTGGAGGAGGCCCCACGGACGCCCAAGGCAGTCCGCATGAGGCGGGCGTAAAGTTTAGGGGTTTCAATTTAGGGTTAAGGGTTTGGGGTTGCACTGGGTATATTCATGTAGGGTTATATAGGGCTTATGAGCCCTTAGTGACGCCCCAAACCTGAAACGGTCAGAAGTCCATAGAAGTCCACACAGTTATACCAGTCCGTGTAAATAGGGGGAGCCCAATAAAGACCCCAAAATACGACTACCCTTATATGGGGACCCCCCAAAAAGTACGCCTAATTTTGGGAAACCCTAAACAATATATAACTCCTTTAGAACCCTTATGTAACCCCTATATAAAGTCCTATATATCACCTATCTATCCCCTATAGAACCCCTAGAGATCCCCTACATTTTGGGAAGCCCCCTGCCTCCTGCCAGTCGAGATGACCCGACTTCGGGGCAGAAGCTGCGCCAGCCCAACACCGAGGCCTGCTGCTTCAGCTTGTGCAGAGGCTTAAATTAGGGTTATATTGGGCTATATTCAGCAGGTTTTGGGTTTTAGGGGTTTAGGGTTTATAGGGTTTAGTGCAGAGGCTAAATTAGGGTCATATTGGGGTAATATTAGGGTTATATTGGGGTAATATTAGGGTCATTTTGGGGTAATATCAAGGTTATATTGGGGTAATATTAGGGGTATATTGTGGTAATATTAGGGTTTATAGGGTTTAGGGTGTCGGGTCTAGGGTTTAGGGATATTGGGATAATGGAACATAAAATGGAAACTACTATTTAGGATTATAGGGATAACAGGGTATAAGAGCTATGTCTATACTCCTTAAAGAGGAGTCATATAGGGGATTATATAGGGTACCATTATAGGCCTTATTCAGGGGGATGCTAGGAGTTGAGACGATGGGTCATATAAGGGTTATTATAGGGTGAACGGAAAAGACAATGGAATCTACTATTGGGGTTATACAGGGGCATATAGGGGTTTATAGGGATTATGGCATTGGGCAGGGAGACCTGGGGGTTTCCCAAAATTACGGGTACCTCATTGGGGTCTCCATAATAAGAAAGTATCTTGGGGTATATATTGGGTTCCCCTATTTGTGGAAACTACCACATGGGTTAGGTGGAATGCGTCACTCGGTACCTCGACAAGGGCATCAAGGGCCGCTGTATGGTGGAGGACGCGGTGCAACCTGCTGAGCAGTGGCAAAGTGGGCTATCAGCAGTGAAGTTTAGTAGTATGAATAGGAAATAACCAGTGAGATCATGTCATTTCACTGTTCTGACAGGTCTCAGAAGGCCCTGCATCAGAAAATCGTAAGTTTATTTAACGACCTGGCAAGAGTCTGCTTCGACGTGTTAGGACCACTTGCTGCCATCTGTGCCTCGGCTAAGACAGTGGAACGAGACTCGTGTATGGCCCAAAGGATTGGAAAGCACCCCTTAAACAAAGGGTTAAAGGAAACCTTTGCAAGCTGTTCACGTCGCCAGCAGAAGGGGGTGTTTCCAGGGAACTCAGACAGAGGAAAAGAGACGTCATGATATGCTGTACTTGTACCAGAATCTACATGACACAGAAATTCACCAGTTGTCACCAGCCGCATGTTGCCTCTAAGGCCCTGGTCCAAGACCTGGGTGTGGCCTCCAAGCGTCCTGCACTCGGCTAACGGGAGAGCCCGTAGACCCGAAACCCTGAACCTAAATACTGTTGTAGCTTCCAGTTTTGGATTATTACTGAGCTCCTTTCTGAACAGATGCCACGTGCCGGGAGCTCTCAGAAGACATGCCTGCCCAGGTGCTTCAGGAGGCCCGATCTACCGCATCTGAATCGGCTTGGCTGCGCCTACCTGTACTTCGCGGCATGACTTGAAGTCTTGATTCTCCATCATACTCAGCTCATAATGCACCCATGTTGCTTTCAGCCATGCTTAGTTGAGGTGCAGGTGGGCTCTTAGTTCCCAAGCCTTAGGCATAGACTCTCCAGCAAGTGGCCATGCATTTGGGTTCAGGCTGGATGCTGCAAATAGGGCCAGGTGTCCAGCGCACACGGGATGGCAAAACTTTCAGACAGTCTCAGAGCAAAGTGATCCCAAGCTTCCCAAATTCATGAGAACGCCACTGCTAATCGCTGCTATGACATCGAACTGCGGCAACTGGCCAGGCAGTTAAACCATTTTCAATCCATGAGACATAACAAGATCATCTTATCTGCCAAGCTGCCTGACTGGCCGGTTTTCGCCTGAATTGCGCTGCGGGCTTCGAAAGCCAGCTGGGGTAGAATTTCACACGATGCGCAAGCCTTTCTGCTGACTGGTAGAAGCAGCACATCCTGCACCGCTTTCATTACCATGTGCCGAACGTGTCCAACGTATGTCTACGTGCTGGTGTCACTAGGTTTCGTTGCAATGTTCCCTTTACATGATTCCAGCGCAGCTTCGCCATCTCGCCGTCGTGTAGAAACGATGCCCGGCATAACTGCGCGTTAGTTGTTCCGGCAGGGAAGAACAGCGAGACCTCAAACCTGACCTGCTGTTGGCTTGGAACAGCTCAGCTCTTAGAAATGAGAGAACCAAAATGTTCATCCGCCGAGTTCCACAAGCCAACATGGGTATGATGGCCTCCCTTGTTCTTAGAATTTGGGTGGATTGTTGTGTCATGCTGCGCAACTCGCAACAAGCTTTGATTTTCCTGTGCATTCTTTCCTTAAACCCTACCCTGCCGGCACAGCAAGAGATTACGTTTTGGTTCAGCCCGTGGGAGGGGAGCTTGAACAATGGCTCGATAGCCTAGCTGTTGCAAGAACAAATTACTTGGGAGGGATCGCCACCTTCTTTCATCCATGTCAACCAGACATTGCCTGGTGTGTCAAGAGGCTTTGTTGGCCCTATGACCACTTCTTCTAAATCACTCTTTTTGAAGCCCCTCCCGTCTTACAAGTTTCGATCTTGATGAACTTGTACCGTGCTGAAGCCTTCCAGGCTTCGCTTAACTCCTGCAAGCGCAACAACGAAGTGTTGAAGTATGTGACGAGCTAGCTTCAGATTTGGCACAAAACTGCGCTATGGCAGATGTAGAAATGGATCCCTAGCCGGGGATCCATCCTGACCAGCTCTGCGTAGGATAGACATGTCATGCAGAGCTGTGTGATTTGAAGTGATGCCTTCAAGCCAGTTTGAAAGTGCGAACTAGCCCTTTTAGCACCACATAAATCGGCCTTGTAGATGCTGACCTTCAAGCGCATTAGATATAGGCAAACTCATCCTGACGAGGTGTCATTTCTCATGGTTCCCTGCGCGCATCCAGGTAGCATGTTGTTTCCTTGTTGGCTACGGGGCAGCGCCAGTGGGCAGCCCCGCACAGCAAGGGAATCCCCCCAGGCTGAAACGGCTGTTGGTGAGTAGGGATTCAGGGAAGGAAGGAAAGGGCACACTACGGCAGTTGCAGAGTTTATCGGTTCTTTACTGACCAACAGCCAGTCAAAGAATGACATTCGAACAGCATCTAAATGCGATCCACATGGCATAAAAGTGCAGGAGGTAAACCTGGATCTGAAAGCGCCGTCCGAATCTCGACGTGCTGGCGCTCTGCTGGGTATGACCAGTCCGCATGACTGGTCAATAGCAAGGAGCGACTGTTCAGGTGTGCAACCCTGCTCCTTGCAGCTGGAGGAATGGGGTTCTGGCCTGACGGTCCTACAGCGCCACGCTTAGGACACGCACGCCGCATAAAAAACCTGCGGTGATTTCTTTTGTGAACATGAGCCCCTGACCAGATGTGCCCTCTTGACAGCTTTACATGGTTTGTCTGGGTTGCTGTTAAGGAACTTAAATTAAGTTACTATATATCGGGGAAACCATATTAGTTACTATATATACCCATTATGGTAACTTACTTTAAGTTCCTTAACAGCAACCCAGTTGTGGGACCAATATGTATGATGTTGAGGAATCATCCTCGAGTCAATTGTCGCAGATTTCGTCTTGGGCTCATATGAGCACCTCGCTTAGGTTTCCCCGGTAGTAGCGCTCTGGATGTGTGTGGTGTACTACTGAGCCACTGTAACCTTCTGGTTCATAGTGCTAATTAACTTTGGTCATAAATAGGTACCACGCGCACTTAACACTTTCATCCATCCGCACCGCCGAAGGGAGTTTGTGAGGGCACGAGGCTTTCTGCTGCAGAGGTCAGCGCCTCCCGAAAGAGGTGTGGTGGCTCTCTGGCCTTTGCAGTTTGAGCTGTCACCCTGTGATGATGCTTATTGATGCACTGATGAGCCCGCGATTTCTTTCACTTGCTGCATCACTCGCTGGCTCGTGGCACGCATGGACGAGCTTTCAGGCTGCTGTGCTTAGATGGCATTACTTCGGCAGGCAGCGGTGACACAAAGGGTGAGCGCAGGTCTTGTGGACTTCCACCCAACAACTAGATCTAGCGGCATCTAGACTGACTTCGTTATTGGGTCTTCATTAGATGGACCCCCACCCAGCAAGAGTGATATAAGGAATAATGGTGATCATATTTCTTATACCGCTATTGCAGAATGGGGAGTCCACCTAAGATACCGGTAATACTTGTAATAATACGCATATTAATGGTAATAGTAATAAGAATAGTAATAAAAGCAATAGTAAAAATAGCTTAGTAATAATGATAAACATAGCTGAAATCAGCCCTTGTGCGCTTGCGAACCGTCATGGCCTTGTAGCTTCAGGCCCAGAGCGAGGCGCAAAGCGCCTTGGCCCAGTGCCTGACAGACTTCGAGGTGCGCACTGCAACGAGCTCAAAATGGGGGGGGGGGTTCCCAAAATTAATGGTGACATTTTACGGTCCTCAAGAAGAAGGATCATAGCATTTTTGGGTCTATGTTAGGGTTCCCCTTATTTGGGAAAGCAGCAAGCAACCTAAAACTGCCTCTTGCTCACCTTTTCTTGCCATGTGCGTGGTTGTCAAAATTATGGTCCCTTTCTGGATCCCTGTTATAATACGGCACCTAATATGTAGGGTACCCAAAGAAAGGGACCATAATTTTGACAACCACCCATGTGCCTGCAGGTGGTGCCGGAGCTGGTACCGAAGTCGACAGCCTTCTCTGTCTTTCGGGAGGTGGGTGGTCGTCAAAATTATAGTTCCTTTTTGGGTACCCTAAATATAGGTGCCGTACGATAATAGGGATCCAAGAAGGGACCATAATTTTGACAACCACCCAGGTGGCGAAGACCGCCATCGTACCCCGTGAGGTGCAGATGAAGGCAGGGAGGGTGTCTGGGTTTGTTCAAAATGGCTTCATACATGCTTGGCGTCTTCCTCGGGACAGGTTGCCCCTGATGAAGTCGGCGAATCTGGCCGATTCTTCACGTGCCCCCTCCCACTTGAGATCTGTCATCCAAACTCCACGGCTCCCACCCTTGTCCCCCCTCACCCACAGCCCCCCCGATACCTGCTGCTTGCAAACGCAAACTTGGGCAGCTGAAGAAGGTACAGCCACTTTGCTTGCAGCCTCGCTGTCACAGCGCAGCGGGCCTTTGCAAGCGCAGGCAGCAGAGCATCTTTGAAACCATCATGGGTTACAGCCTAGCTTCTGGCGTGACATTCGCTTCTTCATACTAGTTGTTCATGGGCTCAGCATGGCTCATTGCAAGGTGCATCATCGCTGGTGCGGGTAATGCAGTGGATGGATGCATCCAAGGCAATTCGCCCAGAACCAAAGTGCAGTTCATGCCTGCATTTGTTGGCCGGCTCGGAACATCACGGCATCCCCTGCTACAGCCAGGGCCGTGTTCTGTTCAGCCAGAGCTTCCCGGGTGCGGCGCCGAAAGGCTGCGCAGCTCTCAGAATCACTGGCTGCCTGGTTTTCATTGCAGGGGCACTCACATCCACTCACCATTTCATAGCCGCTGTTGAACTCTGAGGTTGTTCTTCATTGAAACAGTTATGTTGCTGTGGTAGTTCATGCGCTTGCAATTGCATGCGATTGTTGTGGTAGTGTGAACCGGGAATACCTACGCAGAGCAGGAAGTGCATGAGCAGTAGCCGCAGCAGCACCCGCAGCCGCAGCCAGCTATGCCACTGTTGTGGCATGGGTTGCCTGGTGCTCAGTCTAACCAGTGGGCATGTGTCATCATGTAACCAGAGCGCATGAGAGGGCACAGGACGGAGTAGAATCAATCCGGCATGTAATCATTTTTGACGACAGAAACCTTTGTCAGATGGAGTTGATGCTTCAAGGTGCAATCAGCCTCCGCGTGATGCCCGAGATAGAGAAGCTTCCTGAGGCGACCTGGGTTCAGACAGCGTCGGTGTACGTAAGGTTGTGAAGATTGTGGCTCCACAGACGGCAGAAGATGAAACACAGTTGGCCCAACATCCCACAGAACGCACCAGCTTCAAGCAAGACTGCGGACGCTTGCCAACACTTGACTCACCACATAGAGACAACGCGGCACAGCACTTCCCACATGTCCGAAAACTTGCAGCCGCCAACATGGAGATCTTGGCAGTCGTTGGTTTGTAGTGTGTTGTGGGACTACTGTCCTATGCAAAAATACCGCTGCTGCTAGCATGCTTGCTCATCAATTTCAGGATGTCCAGCGAGAATTCATGGCTGAGACGCCGAAACAGGCGATCGGTCAGGCACCGACATTTGTTCAGTCTGTACATGTGTAGCATTCTGTTTCTTTTCATTGGCTGTTGGGGTAACAGGGGTTTAGGGACCATTGGGGTAATATTAGAGTTATATTGGGGTCATATTGGGATAATTATGGAAAATGTAATGGAAACTACCATGCTATACTAAGTCTCCATAGTAGTTTCCATTTTCTTTTCCCTTATCCTTCACCCCAATATAACCCCAATGTATACCCCATTATAGCAGCCATACATCACACACCGAGCCTGCTCCACAGCAGGTCTCGAAGCAGCAGGAGGCCATGCAATCAAGGCAAGAAGGTGCGGCGGACGAGGAGGTGTGAACCCTGCAGATTTTGTATTGCTCCACTTGAGCCATAATCTAAAGTTCTTGGAGGAGGTTATTTAGGGGATTCTATATACATATATATATATACATGTATGGGGCTTTCCATTAATTGGGGGTCAGGCATTCATGAAACAGAGCATGTTTGACCCCTCCGATACATACCTCAATGCACACCCCCACAACGTCCCTCTCGTCAAGAGCCCAGGACTACGAAACGTACCCCAATCCAAACGTGCATTCATGACCACGGTTGAGCCGGAAAAGCCCATATGGGTGACTACTACCTAAACCAAAATAATAGCCCTAAGCCTAAACCCGTAACAATAGCCATAAAGGCCATTACTTTCCATGCTTTGGGGGCCCAGGTATAGGGGTCATGAGGAGTTTATGGCTCGCAGGCGAGGGGTGTTTAGGCCGTTGTCCCAGTGCCAGTCGGAATGTACGATGACGTAGGACCTTTGCGCCCATATCTGAACCCAAAAAGTAGGTTGACTAATGGCCTTTGGGGCTATTCTGGGTGGGTGTTGGGCTATTATTCTACCTACTTTTGGGGCCCCCAGGTACACCTGTCTCAGAGTTTGCTTTAAATCCCTCGGCGCTCTCACTCTGTTGACAGTGGACAGCTGTGCGTGACATTGAACTCAGAATCATTACATTTTTCATTTCTTACCCAAGACTATCGAGACTATGAGGGATAATGGTGATCATATTAGGGTCCTTATATTTCTGTTTTACCACTATCACTGGGTGGGTGGTTCCACCGAGCATATTATCCTGTTCCTTGACTCGCCCTAAACCCTAAAACACTAAAACCCTAAAACCCTTAACCCTAAACCCTAAACTGTTCCTTGACTCTTTGGAGGTGGCGAGGCCTCGGCGCTCCCGCTCCGTGACGAGCCTCGCCCGGGAGCCGCGAGCTGCGGTCCACGCAGCGCCACTCCCCGCACCTCGATTACCTATTTAGCAATGTTAGGGAAATATTGGGGCTATTATGTTGGGATTAATACTAGGGAAACATTGGACTTTATATTTGGGATTAATAGCAATATTGGGTATAGGGGGATAATTTAGTAATATCAGGGAAATATTGGGGCTAAGGGTTTAGGGTTCAGGATTACCTATTTAGGTAATATCAGGGTTCTGTTGGGGTTATATAGTGGGATAATTACCCATTTAGGTGATATTAGGGTAATATATATTGGGATAATGGAAACTATTAGGGTTTAGGGCTTTAGTAATATTAGGCTGGGTAGGCCCCTGAAATGTTTAGTATTTTCCCTAATGGCTTTAATAAGGGACCCTACATACTAATAGTTTTCAAAGGGCCTTGGGGCCAACCCACTCGGGTAATATTGGGGCTATTATATTGGGATGATGGAAACTATTAGGGTTTTGCGCCGCACCTCGAAAGCAATTGATTAGGGGCCCCTTTGTTTTAGTCCCTGTTATAAGGATTAAGGATTAGAATATGTTAGGGTCTCTATTGCCGGTCAACATGTATGGAAAGCCCCATATTGGCATCATGCCTTTTTGGGAGAGCTTGGCAAAAACCTTTCTTGCCAAGGAGTGGGCAAGACTGGAGATCCAGAAGACCTTTGGGCAGTCCCGGCAAGATCACACGCGACGAAGTGATCACATAACTCCTGACCCCCAAAATGATTACCCATTTAGGTAATATTAGGGTTATATTGGGGTTATGTTGGGATAATGGAAACTATTGGGGTTTAGGGCGAGACCTTGACGTTATGGCAGGCACTATGCGTCGTTGGCTGACCCTCTCAACCGAAGCACCTTGACCTCCCAGAAGTCTGCAGCTTAGCAACTTGCCCTTAGCAAGCGTTGTGACGAGCCGGACATGCTATTGATGCTCCTTATTGCTCCCTACTCTAAGCTCGATATATACCTATTATGACATACTAGTTTCCATTTTCTTTCCATTATCCCTATAGTGCCCCCATATTTCCCTATATGCCATTAAACAGTTGCCTGTCTTGAAGGTTCGGGCGCTTCCTGCGAGACTCTGGCCTGTTGGCAATCGAGGACTGCTTCCACCCGCGCCGGCTTTAGACGGAAACCACATACTGGGTCTTAACATAATTAATAGGGACATTGATAATATGGGACTATCTTATTTAGGGAGTAATCACTAGACCCTAAACCCTATTAAGAACCAGTAAGAAACAGGCACTGGTAGTGCACAGGCCGATGGACCGGTCACCTTTGACTTCGCGCCTGAAGGCCACCGGCTGGGGCAACTGCGCTGGAGTTTCAAGACTTCACATGACCCATAATCTGAATTCCTTAGAGGGGGGCTATATAGGGGATTATTCTGAGACTGCTATAAAGGGTTATTAAGGGGATACTAGGAGTCATCAAAACTTCACCGCAAGCTGTGATGCTTGTGACAGGTCGCCGTGCCAGTGTGAGACGGCCGTCAAAATCAGGCTGCCTGATTTGTAATCCTCACTTGCCTAGGCCAAGAGGGAACTCCATTTCGCATACATCTTCTTTGCTCTCAGTATCTTTTGCATGGTCATGCCAATATGCTATAGTAGTTTCCATTTTCTTTGCCATTATCCCTATATAACCCCAACCCTAAACCCTATACTATAATAGTTTCCATTTTCTTTTCCATGATCCCTATATAACCCCAATATACCACAGTAATCTAAAGCTTGGGCTATCTTGGGCTGCAGGCGCCGACTCGCCAGAGCTGCCCTCAGCACATGGGTAGCCATCATGTCCAAAATTTGGAATTCCTTTTTAAAGGTCCCTACAGTAAGGATGATAGTATATTATGGCTTATATTGGGGTCCTTCAGCAGCTGCTGTTGTAGAAAATGGCTACAGGGCGCAGTTAATGCCGACGTTGGCAGTCTTGGTCCTACTGAGGTGAACATGGCAGCCAGCCCAGGCAAAAGGTCCGGCAGTGGACTGAGAAATGAAATGGAAACTGGAGTTATATAGGGGATTATATAGGGTTGAGGGTTTCCCAAAATCAGGTGTACCATTTTGGGGGTCCCAATGAAGGATTACAGCACTTGGGGGTCTATATCGGGGTCCCGAAGCTACGATATCATTTTGCAATGTACATGGCCTTAGGCAGCGGCTTCCCGCAGTTCCTTCTTTGATGATGCCTGTGGTAGTCCCTATATCATCTCCAAGAATGATACCCATAACCTTTCCTGGAGTCCCTACCAGGACCTTCCTTGTACCTTAATTGGGGATATATGGTCCCTAATAGTGGTACTTAGGCCCTAACAGAGGGTGAGAGGAGGGTCTAGGTACTTACCACCAGTACGTCCAGAACATGCCCTACATGAATCCCTATAATAGATAGGTTCACACAGCTTTTTGTAGAAGTTGCTTAGGCCTCACCCGTTCG